ACCATTAAGCAGGGAAGTTACTGTTGAGCATCTTTAGAAGGGAAGGTAAAAGAAGGGTTTTCAAATTTGGATTTGTTTCATTCTTGGGAATGATTTAAATTCGAGTATTCAGAAGATGTAGAACATCTGGAAGGGATGCTGGAATCTCAATTATTAAATTTTGGGCGATCTCTAAGCTCTCACGGTTAATATTTCAGCCCATTCCTTAGCTAATAGTAAATATTGCGACATAATAAGTTCAATTTAGAGTGCCTGATTAAACGACGCACAAAATGCCACTTTAATTTTGTCCCAATGCTTGGTTAGCCGGCAAGAGCATCCATGCTGTGTTACACGCTTAGGCCTCGATCGTTCGAGAATATCATGCATCAGTTTTATAACGATGAGGAAATATTTTTCAGCTCGCGGACAAGAAGGTCACGCACGTTCATTTGCCTGCTGTTTTTATCTGTGGCAGTAATTTTTTTTCTGATTACATCTATCGTATTTGTCACCTTGTACTGCTTGGAACAAGGAACTCACAGTAAGGCTGTGGCGAGTATTAGTTCGATGAATGCTTCAGCGACGAACCATAGCACTCAGTGTACCTTGGAATCTCAGACAAGAGCAGGGCGAAAGCCTTCTCAAAGCACAACAGGGCCAAATTTACCTGCTCGGAGCACAGCAAGAACAAGAACTTCTCAGAGCACAGCAAGGCCAAGAACTTCTCAGAGCACAGTAGGGCTAAAAACAACTCTAAGCACAACAAGAACATCTTTGAGCACCGCAAGAACAGAACTATCTCTGAGCAGAGCCAGGCCCAATATATCTCTGAGTACAGCACGGCCAAAAACATCTCTGAGGTTACCAAGGCCAAAAACGCCTGATATTCCCACATCTCTGAAACCAGGACAGCAACTGAGATATTGTGGATCTAAAGCATGTCTGTTTGCCTCAATAGGTGGGCGAAAGTTTGCGCTACAATTTTGGTCTGTAGCCTATGTAGTGTTGTATACACTAAACAACGTTTAGACCGTTTAGTGCCATTTATTTAGGAATATAGTTCAATCCGTCAAAACAGTCAGCCATTCTACCATTCAGTGTCGGTCAGTCAGTGAGTCAGTCAGTGAGTCAGTGAGTCAGTGAGTCAGTCAATCAGTCAATCAGTCAGTCAGCCATTCAGTCTGTCTGTCAGTCAGTCAGTCAGTCAGTCAGTCAGTCAGTTAGTCAGTCAGTCAGTAAGTCAGTGAGTCTGTCAGTCAGCCGAGTCAGTGAGCAAAAACAAACAACACAAAGAGTAAAGAACTTGAGGCTCCCCCATGACCCAGGGCAAGCACAGAGTTTCCTCTGACCTACAATAATATCGCAATCGATTTTAATTATCTTACCAAGTTTCAATGACAAGCATATTCAGTAACTCCAGTGCTACCAACCGTTATTCATTTGTTCTTTTTTTGCGGTGGGGAGAGGGGACAGTCCGAATACCCGAGATGTCGTGACATCCGTCACGCGTCATGTGAGATCATTGAGATTCATCAGTCATCAGTGCTGTCGCAGCCAGCTGTCCCTTGTTTCACGTGTCAATTTTTCCGTTTTCTTTTAATATCTTGGCGTTCGTTTGAGTTTCGTGGTCAAGTTTTGTCTCTGACGTTTCAGCGCCTTATTCCTTGTTTAACCTTCCTGAAGCATCGAAATGGAAAAGTTAACCGAATATGATGAATATGGTGAAGAGCACGGCAGTGTCAAGTACAAATTAAGGCACTTCAATAAGTTTAAGGTTTTACTTATAGCTACCGTGATTTTTCTCTTGTTGTCGATTATATTCATAACATTATTCGCCGTGGAAAAAGCTAAGGATTGCGAGCCGGGAAAACCTCCGAGTGTTCAAACATTTTGCGGCACCAAGGCGTGTCTTTATGCTTCACTGGGTAAGGTTTGAATGTTTTCTGTTTTCCTTGTTTATAGAAGTTGGGTGTTGTATTCGAGATCTCTCAAATGTAAAGTATAAATCAATCCAGTTGAAAGCTTGAATGAGTAATTTACACGTGTAGACAGTTGCGTGACATAATTCTGCATAATTTAAGCAGAACCACCAATTTGCAAGAAAATCGTACTGGTTGGAGCTTTTAAAATCCGAATTCGATGCGATTATAGCACTTGTTTTTTAAAGCCATGTTTATGTATATAGTTGAGAGGTGACGCGTCAATCTTTCCCAGAATAGAATCGATTTTTCCAGAAATGTCAAGGCGACACCACCATAAACAAATCAGAGGGGTCGGGTGGGGATACGTTAGCTGATAACTGGTCGCCGTCACATGGCTTAAACGTGGTTTGATTTGTTAAAATGAGAGCAGATTGAATATGTAAAAGGCTTTCTTGTTTGGCTGTTGTTTTAGCCCTCATTGTCAATGCAATTTCTCCGCAGTATTGTCAGTAGTGAATAGACGTTATTACTGTTTTGAAGCCGTCTCGACGGGTGGACAACTTATACGTCAGAACTTTCAGTGTTTGTAGGAGAATCCTATGGCGAAAATAAGTCGAATTCTGAACAATTTACGGATCGTAAGATACTAGACAATGGATTGCATTGACCAAATATGAGGGATGTCGCTGTGCTAGAAAGCCTCCAGTCGCGCTTTTAATTTTCCATACATTTTGTCTCTATTTTTTTCCCCGCATATTGGCGCGAACTTGTGAGTCACGTACAACAAGTTCGCGGAAAGTAATTTCAGACAAATGTATGGAAAATTAAAAACGCCACTGGACATCATCCTTCAAATTTGATTAATGCAATCCATTTTCTAGAATCTTAACTCTGCTATTTAAAAATTATTCAGCATTCATTTTTTTTTTTTCTCTTTAAAGAAAATTAATTTCCATCGGATTCCCATAGAAACACTGTAATTTCTGACGTAGTTGCTAAAAACCTGTGATTTAAGGTAAAGACAGAAATGACAGCGACGAACAGTGATATCGGGGAGGGGGGTGGTCAACATATTTATTTTTCATAGGTTTGACGGTTTGTTTCCACATACGGCACACCGCAGGGCAAAAATCTAAAAAAGGGCAAAAAAGGAAAGCAAGCTAGCAAACGAACTAAACAAAAGCTGAGGAGAATACCTTTTAGGTCAGATGCTGGCCGCAGTCACATCAAACACAGTTAATTTATAGTTTGTTCGGGTTAGTCTTTAGTTAACGATAGCCTGTGAGGACTGGCTCACATTTGAGTCTCACGCGCGTGCGACAAGCCAGTCGTCGAGCGCAGTGATCCGTGAATCTGCTCGCAGGTTAGTTAAATGACGTCAGACTTAAGAGCAGTTCGTGGTTTCGGTCCACATTGACGTGACACTAATGACGTTACACAGTTTAATAGATCTCATCACCCTTTGAATGACGTCAGACTGAACAGTAGTTCATGGCAGTTAACATTCTAATTGAGTAATCTATGGAATGCAAACATAGCTGACCGTCTCGTTTCATACTGTATTCGCGTGGGAAATCATCGTCGAAAATTCGAAAATTCTGAAAAACGTTATGGCATTATGTAAATAATTCTTTGCTTTCTTAATACTTTCTATTGTTTCTTTGTCCCCGCCACAATCTTTCACGACTGGATTTTGATTTGCATAATTATGTTCATCTCGTCTGTTCTAGACAGCTTTCTGATTGGCTTTTCGTTTGCACACTATGCTCAGTTGGGCATAACTTTCGTTAGCTATTAGTCAACTTGCAGTTGATAAGATTAATTGACCGCCGTAAGAATTTTGTGAGGCTGACTTTTCGAGCGATAGCTAGTCCTTCGTCAGAACAGAGTGGGGTTTGATACAATCCACAATTCCCCACCAGTTTGATAAATAGCCAAGTGTATTACCCGCCGACGACGCGCAAAAGCTCAGCTCGGCTCGGCTCGGCTAGGCTCGGCTAGGCTCGGCTCAGCACGGCTCAGCTCGGCTCAGCTCGGCTCAGCTCGGCTCAGCTCGGCTCAGCTCGGCTCAGCTCGGCTCAGCTNGAATTTTATTTTTTCAATTCTAGTTCTCGCAGCCTAATGAGAAATTGACATTTGTTCAGAACAGTTTTAAAATTTTAAACGTCGTTTATTATATACTTTAGCATGACAGGGTAGATGTGCGACACATGACACTGATTCATTCTCTGATACCCTCAACTTAAGACAGCTGTGTACTGAATAAATAAGAATTCGAATCACCTTCCTCTTTTGTTTTCTCTCCAGATCGCGACATGAAGAAACTCGCCACGTCAGAATTCGATGAGGAGGATGTTGGGTTTGAGAATTTATCTTCCAGGAAGAAAGCAAAGAGAATAATAATAGCTCTTACCGTGGTTTTACTCCTTGTCTTTGTTCTTTGTCTGATCTTCATTGTCTTATTTGCGTTGGAGAAGAGTAAAGTTCACGAGCAAGCTGTTCAGGAATCAGCATCACAACTCCAGATCTGCGACTCGAAAAAATGCTTGTTTGCTGCCGTCGGTAAGTTTAATTCGCTAATCAACTATTTTTGTTCGGTGCCAGTTTGGGTTCCCATGGGTCGACATTGAAATCAAGGGGGTCCGTGAGCTTTTCATTGTGGAAAGACAGTTGACGAAGCAAAAAAAAAAACAAAAACAGATTAACTGCATACAATGGTCTTTGTTTTATTCGATCGAGGTACGTTTGTTCTTCTCAAGACCTGAAAAATGTGGACCAAGCATACCTAGTGTGTAGAACGTGCATTTTGAACCAGCTTTTTCCATTTATCTCCCATTTTGTTGCCTAAAGTGTGTCCCGTGTTGCATTAAACACGGCGCTAAAAATAGATCAACGCGAAGTCTGCTTTTTCCGCTATACGTTTCAAGTATATGCCCGAAAGACGTGAACGCGCTCCGCACTAGCGAGGATAAAAAGAGTAAGGGAGTTAATCCAACATATNCATCTGGTTGAAAGTGTAGTGCGGTTATTATTTAAAAAAAAAAAAAAAAAAAAAAAAAAAAAGATTAACTGCATACAGTGGTCTTTTTTTTTATTCGATCGAGGTACGTTTGTTCTTCTCAAGACCTGAAAAATGTGGACCAAGCATACCTAGTTTGTAGAACGTGCATTTTTGAACCAGCTTTTTCCATTTATCTCCCATTTTGTTGCCTAAAGTATGTCCCGTGTTGCATTAAACACGGCGCTAAAAACAGATCAACGCGAAGTCTGCTTTTTCCGCTATTCATTTCAAGTAAATGCCCGAAAGACGTGAACGCGCTCCGCACTAGCGAGGATAAAAAGAGTAAGGGAGTTAATCCAACATATAGGACTTGTTTTCAAGGTTATCCTCCTTCTCAAGTTATTTTTAGACATGTTACCCAGTCTCGCGCGGATAATCATGTTACCAAGTGCAATGTTTGAATTTTGGGGGGGAGGATTAATAGCGTGTAAAGTCGCTCGGGCTGTCCACGTGGGCAAATCGCAGGGTTGTGGTCACAGGGTTGGTTATAACTACACTCTCCCGGGATTTCCGAAAGTGGGCTTATTTTAAAAAGGAACCTGAGAGGATTGCCTTAGACCAAGGCCTACTTGGGGGATTAACACTTTTCACCTTTATCCTCTCTTTATTCCGGATGAAGAAAGTGTCTTTTCAGGGAAGCATTTCGGACAAATGTCGAAGTGTGCGGTTGGCATTAAATGTGAAAAACGTTGTCAAAATGTTGCCGAGCAACTTGTGGAGGGCCTTAGTATCACATGCATGGACAGCGTACATAAATTTCCTGCTTGTTGACGAGCAGATGTTGTACTATAGCGATGATAGCCAAAGGGATTTAATTTCTAACAACTACCCCTTCCCTACCCCACCGTGTAGGCCCGTGGGCAAAGCCTGAACAATTCAATGTAGCTCTAAGGGAACTACATTGATCACGAAAGCCTGTTCCATACTATTCTGCACTAACGCAATAAAAACAATGGGCGAGGGAACTGTAAAGCTGACTCCATCTGCATTATGACGCCAAAAAGTCGCCGAATCGTTGTGACTTAAGTAGTTGACCTCACGGCTAAGGGCTGGGTTGCCTGTGATGACACTAGTTTTTGCACAGGGAGACAGGAATACTCTTTGTCACTTCATGCCATAGCAACGAGGCTAAGCGCCTTTCTGATAATTATGTTATCAAGCCTGGTCCACGGACCTCAATCATGTTTGACAAAATGGATGTCCCCCGGATTTCTTGGCACCGTAATTCAAAATGGCACTACGGTTCAGTATACAGATCAAGCCGAGCGACCAGCGGGTGAGCTGAGACTGCGTACTGATTACATAGGACAAATTAGCAAGCTCCTGTACACAAAAAGAACAACACCGTTGCCAGCGTGTCATTTAAAGCAAATCTGATTCATCATTTGGAAGAATGCCTAAAAGGAAATGATGATTTTTTGTGGGTCAAGTAGTGTTTCGCCTAAAAAAAAAAGGAATGTTATTTTGAACTTTCCATTGATTTGAAAATTTAGGAACCATGACTTACGATAACTAAAAATTCGATTCAAACTAACCTGCTGATCGGGGGCTTTTTTTACTTTGAAAGCGAGATCATCGGGGAAAAGGGATGAAATGTAGGTAGGGAGGGGTGGTAGTGGGGAGTGTGATCGCAGGTTAGATTCAAATGTGTTGTTAGTTTCTGAAATATTTCGTATATAGGCTTGACCCTTTTTTTTCTTTTCGCGTGTCAATAACTTCACACTGTCAACAACGAGTCATAAGGATGTGTAATTAGATACGAAGTAAATGTTATAGTTCTCAATGATATCTTGAATTTGAAAACTGAATCGAAACCAGAGAGATCGCGAGTTGGCATAGACTCAGCTCCTACGTTTTCCATTGTGATTGTAAGTTGAGCGGTGCTAGTTAGCACAGCTCCTTTGTGCTCGGAAGATGCAAAAATTTGACACAGAAGTCGGTGTTTCATTTAGTTCGAGTAAACGCACGTCTCGTTCATGTATATGCCTGGTAATCTTATCAGTGGCAGTTGTTCTTTTGGTGACCATCTCTGCCATTTTTGTGACATTGTACGTCATGGAAAAGCGCCCGTCTACCTCAAAAACAGTGTACGCTCCAAGTACGGAGCGCAAGACAATGACGTCTCCAAGCACGGCAAAGCCTAGCGCTACGACTTATTTCCCCACAACGCAGAAGGCGGGAGAGCAGAAATATTGTGGATCTAAAACGTGTCTACTTGCCTCATTAGATAAGCTGATATTTCTTTCAGGGACTGATCAGGATATATACAGTGATGTGCTTAATCTCTTTTAGCAACATTTACAACAATCTTAGAGTACCATGCGAACAGAGTCTCATTCGATCTTCCTAGAATGATCGATTTTTTAAGAAGATCAACTTGATCAAAGGCGCTCCGGCTCTGCTCGCAGGGTAACCTCAAAGACGTTCTAGGAGAGCGAAAAAGTCGTCTGTAGACGTTCAATTCAGTTTATGCCTGAATAGGAGAGGAAGGTAACCTTATT